CTGGGATTCAAGAACACAATAACAGTAAACACTGAGTTCTTACTATAAAAATAAAATAGTAGAATTTTTTAAAATAAATTGATAGTTTTCAATCTGATGTCTAGATGAGAGATGAAATCAAAAGTAATCATGAAAGCAACCAGTATATATATGTCAGGCTGGGATTCAAGAACACAATAACAGTAAACACTGAGTTCTTACTATAAAAAGAAAATAGTAGAATTTTTTAAAATAAATTGATAGTTTTCAATCTGATCTCTAGATGAGAGATGAAATCAAAAGTGATCATGAAAGCAACCAATATATATATGTTAGGCTGTTTAATTCAAATGTCAGCTATTGGCAAGTGAAGAAGAACTATTGGTGATATACCCCTAATAATATGATGTTTACAATTATTCTTATATATGAATATGAGCTTTAAAAGGCAGCTGATATTATTCTTCTGGAAACCATAGATAGAAAACAGGCTGTTTTCAAATGCATCAAGTCTTATATTTCTGATTTAGATTTCAGTGCAGTTTTGTGACTCATTCTGGGTGGCTCTGATCAGAACTCTTGAAAACGACCACTTATAAAGAACTATTTGCGACTGACTAGCTGTTGCACTTAATCTACAAAAAAAATTTCACCTTTACTTCGATAGATTTCACCAAAGTCCATCATCCCATCATCACTACCGTAGACATTGCTCAAAAAATCTATATGCTTGCTTTTTCACTAATCGTTCTTCATATGGTAATGCACATTGGCTATTTAATAAATTTTTTAAAAAATTTAAAACAAAATTTTAATTTATATTATACCATATCATTGATCAAATCACTTAGCTTGAAGTGAATAGAGTATCTCAGATGATTGCAGTCAGCAGACTATACTTTTTTTAAAGGATATTACTATAAAGACGCGTATACTTTACTTAAACAAAGCTCTGCTTTGCAAGACCCCTATTTCAGCATAGACTTCGGTTTTATATATTACATTTCTCTAATAATACTAGTACTTCTACAGCACTATAACGAAACAGTGACCTATGGGTTAAGTTTCCTTTGTATGGTTTTTATTACTACTAAACAACGTAATACTTATAACAGTCAAAATAGCCATATTATGTGCTTTAACCTTTTAGATTTAGATTTTAGAACATTAAAGTACAAAGTACATACGTTGATATAAATATCACTTTTGGTACTAACGTTTCCAATTTATGAATAGCAACTTTTAGTTTTTGAATTTATAAGTGGACTTCGAAAATAAAAGAAACACACCTTGACGTATGAGTAACTACTGTAAGAAGTGATTTTCTACTCAAAAAACACCAAGTAGTACTCTTTAGAAGTCCTTTCCAGGAATATAATACATAATACAAATTTGTTCGGAGAAAATATTCCGAAATAATGAGGCATTAATGAAAACTGATGATGTAATAATTTTGAACTTCGAAATACATGCGGGTTTCTATAAGAATGATCGAAATTCAATCAAATTATATTCAAGTTCCCTTTGCTGCAATTTTTTATTAATAAAGGATTATAATATAAAGATTAAATAACCCGATATATAAACATCTTGGATAAAGCAATGTTGAGAAATGGAAGTTTTAATGGTAATGATTTTCTGCTTCTTCTTTACTTCTTATAATCAATACCCTTTTTTATAATCTATGAAAATAATATACATCATATTTACATAAATTCGGTGCAGGTCAGATCTTCCCTCGTAGTATTGCGTCAACATTAATTTCATAATTTTGGGCGTGCTTTTATTTTCCCTATCTATCGATTTCTTGGTCTTCGTCTTATCCTGTTTCTAACTCTTTTTCTTAACGGATTAAATTTATTGTGCTATCACTCAGAAGCTAATCTAATTTTTGTGAAATGAATAATATTTTAGTGGTTGGGTTTGTTGGTCCGTAGACTTCTACAGTGGAATACTTTAATCTAAATATTTCTTAATTTGCTATCTCTTTCTTGGATATCTTTCTCTTTCTTATCTTATTAAGTTTCCATAGTTCACTATAATACTTATTATATGTATAGTATAAAACATTGAATTTATTTGCCTTCTCAATAGAAGTTATGAAGAAAAAATCTATACTTACTAAATATCATGGTTTTATGATTGAAAATATGATTGAAATATGATTTTAGAGAGGATGCCAAAATTAATTTATTCATAGCATATACTCCACATATAATGGCCTAAAATAGCATTATCACGCTGTCGACTCTACCTTATGAATTCTTTTCTGAGTTGAACTTAATTTTAAGTTTTTGACAGTATCAGTTGTTCGGATGGTTGGTCTCCAGTACGACCAATAAAAGAGAGCAAACTAGTACAGCAATT